GAGAGAGAGAGAGAGAGAGAGAGCACCCGGCCGGAGAAATGCGTTGTGGAAAAAGATCTCCGATATCTGTTTTAAACCTGGGACTTAAAGAAGATTCTATGCACTGGCCTTAGTGTGTGCGAAAATGGATAGATTTAAAGCCCCCTGCAACACTAAGTTTATTTAGGAAGCGAGACCTCTGCGTTTAACCCCCATCTCTGACAGGACCAAACTAAACGAGCCCCCCCCCCATATTAATGACCTTTATTGCCTTGTTAGTTATGCTTCTCTTTTTATAAAACTAAAATGTTACTTGCCGAAAAGCCATCCTCTTTCTTTCTTTGGTCTCTCACTTTTAAAAGAAGTATGCTAGTTTTCTGTGTTTGTGCAGCTCAGTGAAAGTCGCAGGTGTATGAATGCTCTGTTTACTCAAGTGTGCATTTATTACATGCAAGAGTGCTTCAATGTTCCTTTAAGAATATGATGACAAACAGGCTACTCTTCCGCTAGAAATTTGAACAGGTGCGAAAATCGAAAGTAACCAGTCCTCTTTTCCTACTCACGAGTTCAACTCCAGGAATTGTCTTTTTTATTCATTTCTTTGTGTTTAGGGTACTCATCATGCTGATGGAGTTGTCGTCTTAAAATTTGATTTGTGAAGTGGAATTCATGTGAAGCAATGGTATATATATATAAAAGGTTTTCTATTCTTTGATTTAGCTTTTTCTGGGAAGAAGAGATTAGTAAAATTTATCAGAACATTTTTCAGACTGATAGATACTTTATGAATGCGCTGCATGGGACATTGTTTCATAAGAAATTGTGATCAGCTGTTCCTTCTGTGACTGATGATAGTACTCAGATATGAAGCAACTGATTGTGTGGTACACAAGCATTATCCTGTTCGTTTTGCATTTTTGGAAGAGACTCTGCCCTCAAGAGAAGGGCTTACAACACCCCCCCCCCCCAACCATTCCCCACCCTACCTTTTTTCACCCGCTCCCACTATTGAATGATATTTATATTGACCTGATATCAGTACTCCATCTGTTTTATGATGCATTATGCAGTTAATGGTTCTTAAGATAAGATATGAATGCAGCTAAAGTAAACAAAATAGTTTGTGTCTTGACTTACAAGTGTTTCTGACTTGGCAAGAAAAGATGTGTGCATATTGTTGTACTGCTTTTTGTTTGTGACGTGTGGGTGGTTGCACCCCCCCCCCCCCCTCCCGCGGGCAAACTACCTTTCCCATTTTATTGACTTTGAAAACAGATCAAGTAATAATGCTAACAGAACACACAAAAAAGTAAAGATAAAACAAGATCTAAATACAAAATAAAAAGGTTAGATACAATGAAAGACAAAAAGGCGAAATAAAAAAAGGGGGGGGGGGTGTGAAAAACCCTTACAAATCATAGGGTAGAATTTTAAAAAATAAAAACCAAACCAACCATGCAGAAACACACTCATCTATTATACACACCCATCTATTATACGCACACAGCAGCAGCAGGGCCGCTCCCCCGTTTCCAACCAATCGGCGCTCTCCATTCTTTCGCTCTTGCCTCCATGTGGTGAAGCCGGCACGCTGCAATGCAAGCACAGCACACTGTCACGTTGTCCGCACACCAGCGACCCTGACTGCAGCAGGTCATAGCCGAGCTCTCGAGTCTCGAGGCGAAATGTCGGTCGACAGGGCTTGTTACTCATTCCTTCTCTCTTTGTGTGGAGCGTGCATTGCCTAGTGAGTTCATTACACGATTATAAAGTCAGAGTTCCGTTTGAGCATTGATCTAAAAAGAAAAAAGGGGGTGGGGGAGGGGAGCGGGGGAGAGATTGAAGAACTACAGTACCGTACCGTGACAGACAATAGATGCAAAGGTTGCACCTCTCTTTCTTTCTCTCTCTCTTTCTCTCTTTCTCTCTCTGTTTCTCTCTCTGTTTCTCTCTCTCTCCTTCTCTCTCTCTCTCTCTCTCTCTCTCT